TATAACCACGTTAATAATGTTTGTAAGAAAACACACAGTTTGTAAATCCATCAAGATTTCAGCGAGATAAGAGTATTAACGTTTGTGCAGGTCACTTACCTTACCTCCGTTTACCTCAGGTTCGAATGATCCCGCCAGAAAGCCAGCCTGTGGTAAGATGGCCGACCTGTGCGGACGCTCTAGACCTCGTCATAATACATCTAGTCATTCTATATATATATCTATGTGTGAATCTGCTACAGTGTTTGGGTGCGCTGCGCTAATTGACCCGTGAAGAACGGTGCGTTGCATTAGTTCCGCTTTTGGCGCTCGTGTGTAAAATAAGTAATAAAATCGATTTTCATAAAAACACATCGTCCTGAACTGTAAATTCGAATTAATCGATAAAATCTATGTATCGCCCACCTCTACTAATAACGGTACACGATTTAGTTCCAGGGAGTTCCAGAACTTTGCAAAAGAGTGGGAGTTTTGCCACAAGGCCTCTAGCCCCCACCATCCTCAGTCTAATGGCATGGCTGAGAGAGTAGTGCAAGCAGTCAGGATCATGCTGAAAAAGGCTAAGGCTGCAGGAAGAGATCCTTACCTTGCTCTGATGAACTGGAGAAGTACCCCAATGGAAGACATTGGAGCATCACCAGCATGGCTGCTGATGGGCAGGCAAACTGATGAATCAGGCTTCCAGCTCCTCAAAAACTGCTAAAGCCTCGCATACCAAACAGTGAGAACTTTGTTAGAAAGCCAGGCAAAGGAAGCAGAAGAAGGACCCCAGTTGCTTCAATGGCTTCAGGTTGGAGACTGTATAAGATTCTGGCCGGATGGTTTAAGGTTTAAGGTTTTGAGGAGGTTTAAGGTCTCTCCTGCTGTCCTTAAGACCTTCTACTTGGCTGCCATAGAGAGCATCCTGACCATGAGCATCACATCATGGTTCGGGAACTGCTCTGCCCAGGACCGGAAAGCCCTGCAGAGGGTGGTTAGACCAGCTGAGCGCTGCACCAGATCTGCCTTGCCCTCCATACAAGACATTTACACCAGCCGCTGTAGGACCACTGCAACAAAAATCTTCAAGGACCCCTCCCACCCCAATAACTCTCTGTTTTGCCTGCTGAATTCAGGCAATCTCTTCTGCAGCCTTATGACCAGAAATGAAAGGTTAAGGAGGAGCTTTTCCCCCAGGTCATAAGGCACCTAAACCATGACAATACTCCGTGCTTCACACTGTCCAAATCGTTGCCACATACCTCAGGCCTCTTGCACATTGCACTTATATTGCACAGCAAAATGCCTCTTACCTATCACTTATGTATAGATTATGTACAGCTGAACATTTCATAAATTTTTTATCTATATTTTTTCTTATTATGCACGACTGCTCGGAGGGACCAGGGATACATTCCACTACATGTTGTATGAGTACAACTGTGTACATGACGAATAAACCTCTTGAATCTTGTGGAACAAGGCAGGAGTTATAAAACTTGATCAACACCCCAGATCATATGTGGTACAAACACTGGATGGACATGACGTGCTTTTTTTTTTTTTAATAAAAAAAATGTGGAATGTCGTGATATTAGAGTTATTGGATTAATCCACAGGGCTAGAGGCTGCCATTTTGGTATTGAAAGGAGTCCTGGCAGACAAACAACAGGGCATAAGCAAAGGAAAACTTTGATGATTGAACCCACCCTTGGCTGTTTGATTTATTGTAAAGCACAGCACAAATCAAACGCCACCCACAGCTTATAGAGGCTTTGATGTATTAGTTACCTAATGCACATTTCATGCTGATCGCAATTTCCGCTTCTATGATTTTGCGCAGCAGGAACACCTTTTATGTGGGACTTTGGGGGTTTTTGCCACTGACTTTTCTTCCGTGGTGTCTGTAATTTATGCATTGTCAGCACAGACCTAGTCTTTTAAATATTCTATCAGTGTTTAATCTCTGCCTTTCTCGTTAAGATGTATTAAGAATGACATACTTTACGAGACTTGCTTGGACACACCTACTCATTGAAAGGTTTATTTGTACTATTCTCTACTTTTCAATAATTCTAAAGATATTAACGGTATAAAAAAAAGTTAACCCTTAACCCCAGTTGCTCCAGGCACTGGCTGACCCAGTTCTCTCCTCTACACCAGTTCCATGTGGTGGCCTCCTGGGATGCTTTCCCAGCTGTCCTGAAGGAGGTCCCGTATATATGCTGAGTACTCACTGGCTGCTTTTCCATCACTCAATGGTCAGACTCCTCCAAAAACCATTTCTACTGGGTTTAGGTCAGATGGACAGGTCATGTGATGCGACACTATCACTGTCCTTTGTAGGCGGCTTGGCTTTGTCCACACTTTTGATTGGTACTGTAGATGTGGCTCTCATTGTGGTATATTCAGCGATTTAGTTGCAATGGGATTCACATGGAAAAATGATGAGAACCATCCCCCTACCCCACAAAGATCCCCACCCCAGTGCGTATAGCTCAACTATTGTGTAATCTTAATGAGAAGCAGGATTACTAGAAGGTGTATGTCAAATTGTCAGTTTTCCATATATAATCAGGTTATTTTAAAATGGAAGGTTACCCAGAATGGGTTGCTCTTAATTATATTTCTTGATATATGTGCTTTGTTGTTATGTGTAATTGTGTGCCTTAGTGGGCTAAGCCTCTGTGTCTGTGATCAGAAGGTCACCAGTTCAGATTCAGCCTTGGCACATCTGCTGGTCTTTGAGCAAGGTTTCCTGGATGCCACAACAGGTGGCTGCCCTTCACGGCCAGCTTGCTCTCACCTCCAGAGAGCAAGTTGGGGGAAGTATAAAGAGAATTTCCCCATGGGGATCAGTAATGTATCTAATTATTATTATTATTATTATTATTATTGTTATTGTTGTTATTATTAATGCAGGTATTTGATAAGGAGTCGGAAAGAGTAGAGAGCTGGCATCATGTGGTTGAGATCTGTATAAATTCTGTGTATCCTTATGTTCATTAAATTGTGTAGCACACCGCTTGCTACGGGTTTGGTAGGCTGTCTATATCATGGATGCTATAAGCACTGAAGTGGCAGTGAAGGAAGGGACAGCCCAACAGCCACAGCATCTTTTGAAACAGGAGATATTGTGGATAAACAAGGTAAAAAAAAGACTTCTGTGGTGTAGTGCTACTTTTTGCAGTTTAAAGTCCGATACATTTATTAAACATGCCAAACTGATAGAGATTACTAACTTTTGGGCATCACAATACGCCTCTCATTAATATTTTAGGTGTACTACAAATCTGTTTACCAAATTGTGGGCGTAAGTAAATGTCCATATAATAGCAACAAGCCGGCGTCCAGACAAATAATCTAAAACCCTGGTCATTATTGTGAATGTGCCATATAATCTGTGATAACATGCAGCACTAGTTTTCAGAGAACAAACAGCAATTAGTTACCAGTTTCTAGTTTTTACTCATTAAAACTGTTGTGCGTACTAATTTATACCAAATAAAGTGCCTGTTATAGCTATAGATGCACAGATACCAACCCCCAGGTTCCAACAGGCTCTATCTATTGGGTACTTTCAGGTTCCAGCATGCTCAGTAAGGCTTACTTCCTGGTACTGCCTTCACCATGGTCACATGACCTGCTTTGCTGTAAGCTTTAGCTATGCTGGTTTGAATAAGGCCACTTTTATATAGGCCACTTATATCACACGCTTTCGCACCCTTTTGGGGAGGTTTATTGATCAGGACCAGGAGGGACGTGCCTGTGTCATGTCTCACAGGGCACCGACTGCTTGGTCGGATTCTTCTCGGGGCATGTTTTGGGCATGTCTGTACTTTTTCTCTCCAAAAGTGCTTGGCCAGCAGGGTCAGTGCACTAGCGTGCTTTTCTTCTTGCCTCACACCAAGAAGGGGGGGGGGGGGTGGGGGAAGGCAGAATGAGGTCATTATTCAGAGTGCAAAGTAGGAGTTCTCACCAGAGAGTGAACTTGCTTGGCCTGGGCCCAGTTCCAAGGCACATCACCAGCATGGGACACCGGCCCCTAGCTTTGAACGTCGTGCTGCACACATGTGTGTTGGTGAAATGCATGTCCTCCGAACATTCGTGCTTTGTTTTGCACCGAACAGAAACGCAGGTGCAGGACAAAGACTTGAGAGACATGTTAATAAACCATAATCATTCTCATGGTGCTGTAACACTCTGGTCTCCCTTTGGCATCTTAAGGATGAATCACAGCAGAGCAGTGCATGGTGTGGGTGGGTGGATGGGTCAACAGATAGGTGGATCGGCGTCCCCGCTTTAACATGAAGCCCGTTAGTCCGTGACATTTATTCTGTCCGGTTCCTGGCCCACCCCACCACTGAAACAACAACACTGGGACCATTTCCCATGCCTGGGTACAATGCACGATGAATTCCATGCAAGGAGAATGAAATCCTGCAAGAAGGAAGAACTCGCCCCAGCTCTACTAAAAGCGTCAATTGCAAAACATCAGGCTTGACACCTCCCCCTCACCCCCCTCCCCAGCCCTCCATGTTATCATTCTCTGTCATAGACCAGCAGGAAGTTCTTCTGCGGAGTCTTGAGAGTGTGTTTCAGAGCAGGAGGTGTTGCCTTGCTGGAGACACAGACACAAGCTGTCCCTGTTTTTTTTTCTCCTTTTTGTCCCACCTCTTCTTTTTTGAAGTGGAACTTCAGGAATTTTCTACAGTATATTCTTAAATCCTGTACCCTTCCATACAGCCAGGTAAGCTCTCAAGTAATTTGATACGGTTATTTTGGACAATATGCTGAGTAAACCAGTCACTGATGATGCTAATATTGAGGTGAGTGCTCTGGAAGTCTATAAATTAATACATTGTACTGGTTTCCATGGATATCCAGTGAAATCTCATTTTATATTTTTTTGTTAGAGAAAATGGAATGTTTGCAGTATGCGAAGAGGAAATCCTTGTGTGTTTTCATATCACCATAATTTAGTAATTACCATAGGTCAGCAAAAACAGCAATACAGGAACCTCATTAAAACCTCATAAGTCTCATTAAAAACAATGTAAATGGAAATATATGTTCGGCAAGTTTTCTTGGCTGATGAAGTCAGCTAAGTTAAGCTAGAGGTGGTGCAGTCATACAAAGGTGCCATTTATATGAGTGCTTAGTGGTTGTTCCTCTGTTCAACCAGTGTCTCTGTATAGGTTCCAGATAAACAAAGATTGCGTGAAGATCAGAGTTTCCGGCCTTGTGGGGTACGGCTTTTTGGCACGCAATGGTGGGGAACTCATCCCAGGCGTGCCCAGCATCGAAGGCGTTGCTGGTCAATGTGCTGCCGACGTTCTTGTCCATCGAGTTCCTGCTGGGCTTGCCGGGCACCATACTGGCACTCTGGATCTTCTGCTGCCGCATGTCAAACTCCCTGCCTAACACAGTGTTCCTGCTGAACATGGTGATGGCCGATTTCCTGCTGCTCACTGGCCTGCCATTCCAGATCGACTACTTCCGCCGCTGCGACAGTTGGATGTTCGGCCCGTCCTTCTGCAACATCACCCTCTTCATGATGGCCGTCAACCGCTCGGCCAGCATCGCGTTCATGATGACCGTAGCAGTCAACCGTTACTTGAAAATTGTTCACCCACACCATCGCATCAACAACATAACAGTGTGCCAGGCACGGCTCATCTCCCTGGTGGAATGGGTAGTGGTGGTGTCCCTACGACTCCCCCTGCTGACCAATTTGCTCTCGTGGGAAGAGAACAATGTCACCCTGTGCCAGAGTTTTGGCCTCACGGATCTGTCCGTGGGTATGAAACTGCACTATGGTGTCCACCTGCTGGAGTTCCTGCTGCCCTTCCTGGTGCTACTTTTCTGCTCCTTCCGCATCATCTGTGTTCTGCGGCACCGGCAGATGGACAAGGTGAAGAGAGTGCGGCGGGCCATGCGGGCAGTGCAGGCCATCGTGGCCATATTCATCTTCTGCTTCATGCCAAGCTTCATCACTGGTGTGGCTGCACTCATCTTGGACCGTAAGTCCGAAGACTTCAACCTGTTGTCCACGCTCTTCAGGTTCTCCATCACGTTCACCTACCTGAACAGTGCCCTGGACCCCATCATCTACTGCTTCAGCAGCCCCTCCTTTCACAACGCCCTCAAGATGTCCTTCAACAGCCTGGGCCTGGTCCAGTTCCAGCTCAACCGGAGGGGAAGCACCGTCAGCGAGGACTGACACCACCTTCTGCCCGACTCTGGGAAGGGAGATACGCCCAGAGCCCTCAATGGATACTCTAGTGCAGCCTGTAGTACTGCCTTGCTCTTCCCTGCCACTGCAACACGCCCCACTTGTGCTGTACGTTGTAACCAGAATTGTAAGGTGCAAGTGTACAGATACTGTTTGGCATAAGTAGACAATTTATCATACACTTGTTTTTATTTTATCTGTAATATTATAAATAGTCTTTTATGTTTTTTAATGTTTCCACTGTACTTTAGTATTAAAATGATGGTAATTTATTTTTGTAAAAGTTTGCTTTTGGATTTCCTATAATAGCCTCTTCTACAGTCCATCCGCAGAGGGCCCAGCATGGGTCTCTCCTGAATACGGGGGTTTGTTGCCGTGGTAAGGCCCATGGGATCGCAGTGTGCTATGCAGTCTTTTTCTTTTTATTCAGCTCACTGTCAGCCATTTTCTGGCTCATCAGTGTCTGCTTTACACAGTCTGTGACTAAACCTGAAAAATGGCGGGCGTGTTTCTGACTTACCCGCAGATTTTCAAGTTGACTGACGGGATGGCTCAGGTTTCCCATGTAACACTTTAACTTTGTGCATCACTATTATCTCCATACGAAAAGAAAAATATAAAATATTCACAAAGGAAGATCTGAATTTACAAATAAGTACTCTATGCTTTAGTCCATGTAGTATTTCAAATGTTCTTACTACACCACGCAGATTTTAAGAAGAGACCTGATAACATAGACGATATTAATTATAGCTTAAAAACTGTGTTCTGCTGTTGGAAACCCACTATTCAGAAACCGTATGCTTGTTAATATTAGCTGACCAATCAGAGAGTGCCTAATGAGAATAGGTAAGCAGTTTCCAAGCATGCCATTCTCACAGGAAGAAGGGCGTTTTTTGGCAAGCAACAGAACACATTACATCAGGCAAAGGTTTTTGCACCATCCTGACCAAAAGCTTGAGCATTTTTAAACTTTGTTACCAGCGTCGGTGTCGTTCCACTAGGAAAGCTGGGTGTGTCGCCTCTCGGGCTGCAAGTGAAATGCAAGGGATCGTCAGTGCATATTAAGACCCGCGACCTTTGACCGAAATGTTCATCACAGTAGGGGAACTGGTGTCGGTCCCTAGCAGAGGGGGCTGCAAGCCAGCCTTCTCTTCCTGTGATAAAAACGGTCGACATCTCAAGTTGCGTCTTATTCAGTGTTTCATGCTAACGCCCTTTTGCTCAGTCTACACTCTGTGTCATGTTACTTCTGTTATGCAAAACATGAATTATCTGATACCACAAATATGACTAGACACTAGTGAAAATTATGCCAATTTTTCATTGTTTATGTAGAAATAAGCGATCAAAGTCATGCTACATCTCATGTAATATTTAGAGAAATATCCATGATTTACCAAAATATGCACCTTTTCACTGTGTCATGCTATTATGCAATCCTAAACAATGATGATAAAAACAATTTTATTAATGTGGTTGGTACAGAAGCAGTAATTTGTAGCAATGTTTATTTAGAATGGATAACAAAGATGTTGTAATGATTCATATAACAAACCCCCTAGATAAAGTGTTTGTTTACACTATCATGGGTAGATATGACCAATATTAGTCTTTCATCCACTGACCTAATTAGATTCTGAATTTCCGCAGGTGGAATATTTCTTCTTCGTTTGCAGAAAACTTGCATCAAGAGCCATAATTCTATTGCTTTATGATGCTCCATAGGTTCTTAATGGGATTCAAATTTATGAAGATACTGGTCGCTCCATCAGATAGCTATTTTTGCAGTCTAATTTTATCAAGTATTCAACTGTCTTCCTTACAGCATATGACTGAGCATTGTCATGCATGAAAAGCATGTTTTATCTTATTGCCAAATGCTTACTTTTACACCATGGAACATGGAAGTTGCTTTTCGGAAATTCAACATAAGCATCTGCAGTCAAGTTTATACCTTCAGCAGCTTGCCAGTGGCCAATCAGCTCACCACCAATTGTTCCAGTCCAGAAAATCACACCACTACTCCTTGCTGGAGTCTGTCTGTGAGAATGAGGTCTGTCATTTCTGATTGAGCTCTTTCTCTATCTGTTCGGTCCATCATGATACCATTCTAAATATTTCTAGGCCCATTCTACAAGCTTCACTTTGTAGCTGTCCTCCAGTTGAGGTTGAAAATCATGAAACATTTTCCAGGGTGGTGAAGTATTCAACACCTTGTTGACCTTGAGACATTGCTGGTTTTGTTAAATATCTCTTTGCCGTTGGTTTTCTGTTAAACTCTTCCTCAATAAGCGAGTACTATCTTGGGAAACAAATCTGTCCTCTTCCTAACTACATGCATCTTCATGGCACGATGGTGTCTGCCTGTCATCTTAGCAATTTCAAGCGTTGATTTGCTATCACCTAAGTTCATAATGATAATTGTCTTCCCCTTTGCAGATAAATCTATGTTGCGTCCCATAATAACTGCTTTGTTAACAAATTTACAGCAATTCGTCTAATACCATGGCACAGTTGTAGATGTGCAAAGATGGCAGCAGCTTTTATACCCAGGTGCAGTAATCAGTGACAGATGATGCAGATTTACTGTCATCAATGTCTTTGCAGTGTAAGAGAGAAGGTGTCATATCCAGGTGGGGGGAGGGATTGCCTGTGACAGTCACGTTTTATTCCGCTTTGCATCTCATCAGACACTTTGGACTTATAGGAGAAGCAGAAAAAAACAGGGTAGGGGAAATCGCAGGCTTGTGCAGGTCAAATCTGGGGGCCTCGACGTATCCCGCTGGAGCGAGTGATCCGGAGACGGGCCCGAGGCCTGCCGTTTCAGAGGCGAGCTATAGGGGGGTTTGCTGTTGTACCTTTGAACGAGATGTTTACTGTGAATCTATCTAGTAAAACGTCTGGCTGCAAACTGAAAGGCGACTGAAATGAAGCCCCTGGCCAGTCTCATGGTGGCTGATCTCACCGCGAACTCGACACTCTTGAGGGTACCGATTGTCAGCAAAGTGGGTGACGGGACTATGGCTGAAGCAAATATAAAACCCAAAGGTCACTGTTTAAAAACACCATTTCAAAAACTGGACAGTTTGTTATTTACAATGGAGTAATCATCATGGAAGGAAGAATATCCGTGTGATAGAATGTACCCGCAACCTGAATATGGCATTTTTAAATTTGCTATTTCTGTTGTTTCTTTACTTTTCCCCAGCTGAGGACAGTCATGGGCACGTTTCATACTGTACGGATATAGTGTCTTTTTTTAAATAATTAGTTCTTCCAGTGATGCTGGTACGTGATGGGAATTCTGGTTTCTCGGGGGACCAATGAGCCAAGAGCCAGAATGGGTAGGAGGTGGGAGGAGGAGGGTGAGGGTGAGGGATGTCAGCGAGTTGATCACAAAGGTCTCCATTGGGGGTCAGTCCTGGATGATGATGGGGTCTCGGGCTCTCAGGTGCTGGAGGTGACCGTGGGCCGGGCCATGAGTCCTCCTCACGTCGATCTGCTCGCACGGCTGCCTACAGGCCCTCCTGAGCTGGAAGCGAGAAAGCAGCCTCCGGATCATCCTGGAGACAGGGACAGAGTGAGGTCAGGGCCAGGGTCCCACCGGAGCAGAGAAAGGACACCCAAGATCAGAGAAAGCCCCTACTGACAACCTTCACGATCAGCAGCCCCTACTGACAACCTTCACGATCAGCAGCCCCTACTGACAACCTTCACGATCAGCAGCCCCTACTGACAAGCTTCACGATCAGCAGTCCCTACTGACAAGCTTCACGATCAGCAGCCCCTACTGACAACCTTCACGTCTCAATTCATTGACTGATAAGTGACAGTCTGGCTAAGGAGTGTGTATGTCAGCCTGTGAAGTGATGGGTGGCTGTTTGGGGGTCAGTAATGAAACTTTCACTCTCAGACTGTCATGGGAAGAACTTTCATCAACATGAAAACAAATCACTTTCGATCAGGTACAGCAACAGTAGAGAGTAGTCATATTCTGCGGTGCCCAGAGAGGGTCCGAATCTGCCAGGGTCCGCTGTTAGTGAATATCTATCAATTTACCGTCAGGTCCACAAGGGACCCATCACCGTCTGTGACTGACATCCCCTCCCCCCCATCTAAACCCAAGGGGCAGGAGCTGTGGTGTGATTTTCTGCATGAGAAATATTTCAGAAAGCTGCCATCAAAACATCAAAGAATTATTAGTCATAGTGTGATGTTGAGTCTGTATTAAATAGATCAGTTAGATCTGATTAGATCAGACCGGATATTGGTAAGGTTTTCTCCACTACTGCATAATGCAGCCCTACTCTGACACATCCTAAACTACCGTTTCCCTTTTGTTTGTTTTGAGAGGAACATTCATCTCATTTCTATATCTTTATGTATTGTGTTGTGCTCTCTTGGCTGTAACTGCATGATAAATAGGCCTAAAATCTCTTTTTAAATTATGAAAATGTCATAGTTTTGTATGTAACAGTTTTGGTCAAAGTATAAATCATGATGCAAGGTTGGTAATAACCTCTTCTGGCCAAGTACCCTGAAGGATTTCCGGTCCTTAATCACATGCACGTGTCCACGCCCCAGTAGACTTAACATGCAGAGATACGCACAACTACACAACACGCAAGGCATTTGGAGAAACGGACTTGAGGGCTTGATGACTGCCCAGTTGATTCAAGCAGCTTTACATGGGGCCTACCACATTGTGATTCCATCAGAGGAACTGCGGGCAGACTGATAGGGAAGCACTGTGTTTGCATGAGAATATAATATGTTTCTCATGCAACCGACCAACGTGGGGCATGTGAGTCATCGCACAGTAGCCCCCTCATGTGAAGAATAGAGACATTTTTTGACAAGACCCTTGTGTAAACCATGGGCAGCAAGTCTTAATGGCACCACAGACCTACAATCTCGGAGTTCCTGACATTAATGACTAAAGTCAGTGATAATTTCAGTTCACAGTTGTCCGGAGGTAATTGCTGTGTGTTTCAGGGCTGCTCAGTGGCCTCCTCCTGGCCCATGGCATGTTAAGGGTGATTCACGATGACGGAGATGCACTTTGGAGTGATCACATCATATATAGATCTTTAAAAGTAAAAGCCTCTTATGAAGAACGCTTTGGCAATGGAGAGGAGCGGGTGGGGACTCTGGTAATGATGTCACACTCCTGTGGTGAGGAGGGGTGGGTTGGGCTCACTTTGTCATGCAAAGCAAGGATTAATGCACGAAATCACAATGAATGCCCGCGGACACCTCTTCTGACTTTAATGAGCGAGTGCGCCCCGCCAGGTTCACCCGTGCGGCAGGAAGCTCTCCCAGGGGCCCCACCCTCACCACCCGCTGTCGAACGTTCATTCGTCTCTGGTCCTGCTTGCTGCTAATGGCTCATCCATCAGGATGGCAGGGCTAAATTTAGGCTGGAGCCTAAATTTTTGAGTTTGATACCGAATCACTTGACAGAAGGCTGGTGGTATTGGACAAAAGAGGCTTAAAAAGCCTTAGAGTGGTAGCTTTGCCATGTGCTGTCAATCATGGCTGATTTAAGCCAATGGGAATACATGAAGCATTGAGTGGGAGGAGTCTATAGCCTGTTGGTTCTGAGCCTCACTACAGTGACTTAACTTTGCATGTTTTGAAGCACTTATGATCGACCCGCTATGGGCCAGATTCAGCCTCGTGCTTTACCACAAAACCACCACCCACCGGACACCAATGGGCTCACAGGCCCCACCAGCTACCAAGTGCCGAGAAGTAAGGTCAGGTGCATGTGTGCTGGGCGGGGCGGGGCTGAGTGTGTGCAGGGTTTTGGGGGGGGTGCGGTGGGAGGCTACACTTACCGTCAGCAGGGGTCTAACGGCTGCGGCACTGAAATGAAACAAGCAGCCAGTCATTGACAAGGAAGTGGCAAACACATCGGAGCCTACCCCTGCGCTGGCCCACAATGCACTGGGAGCCGAGCCGGGGCAGTACTGCACTGTCAGAGGCACCCTCTGTGCCCTCAAACCATGAGTGTCATGTGCTGAATCATGCTGTAGGTTTTATCACTGATGAGCAAACGCAGGGTTTAATGTGCCTTGGCCCGTGGCGTCCTGGTCTGGGATCAAACATTCCGGCATTCCAGTGTGCCGTCCGCCAGCTCGGGGCCTTCTGCCACGTGTCCCATAGCGAATGTGAGTCTGGTGTGTCACCAACGTGTACTGCCAGAGCCTCGGGGAGCACTGCAGCTTTTCAGCAGCCAAGGGCTGGGGGGCGGAGGGTGAGGCTGAATATGAGTAGGAGTGGGGGCCTGCATTCTTCCATACTCAATCTATCTTTCAACGGCCTCTTACGCCATACTGACAGTGTTCAGTGACATATGAATGAGGTGAGCTTGTGGTGGTCTCACATGGACAGACCTGACATACCCAATGGAGGGGGGGGGGGTCCAAGCGCCCCCCAGTGACCCATGTGAGACTGGTACAGAGCCTCAGGGTTTCCTGTGGTGCCCACATCACTGGCACATTCTCCAGAACACACTTAAGGGGCATCTCACACCGTCTGGCTTTAGGCCGAAGCCGCGTCATCCGCAGACAGCCCTGATGCTCCGATATAGCGCCGCTCGCTCCGCGGCAAACCCCTGGCTGGCGGTATGCTGGACCTTCTCCTGCCATTTAGCTGCCCACCAGGTCAGGGGGCCCCCTAGGTGGGGAAGCCGAGCTGCGCAAACGGGCCCGCTGGCCATCTGAGCTCGTGCTGAAACCCGGTGAGCGGTTGGGAGCCATCAGGGGCCCACGCTGTAATGTGGCATGACACCTACGTGCGACGGAGATGTGGAAGAGGCTGTGGGAGATGTGGAAGAGGCTGTGGGAGATGTGGAAGAGGCTGTGGTGGGGGAGGGATATCTTTCAGAGAAGTGGAACAGCCAATTGATCGAACATACCTGGTTTCCTGGGACACGAGGAAGAAACTGTCGTCTGGTGCCTCAATCCAGTTGGGCCGTCGCTTGTGGAGCATGGTTTCGACGTTCCGGGGGGTACTGCTGCCGCTCCTCCCGTTGTGCTAGGTGGGGGGATGGGGGCAGGCGAAGGGGATAGGTGTTAACCACAGACTTATTTACCAGAAATACCCGCTGTCTAGTCTCGAGTCATGAAGGCTCATCTTCTGTGGCTTGAAGAACAGCATTTTCCAGCTAATCTTCAGCACACATGAAGGGATGTAATTTACTGTTCTTTCCCTGGTGAGTCACGTCACCCTGAACTTGAGTTCTGCTGCCCATGGGAAAAGGTTCCCCTTATCTCCCACACCAGTCAATCCCACCCAGACAGGACGCGAGAACCGACTCAGTGGAGCCTAGACTGGCTAATTATCACGCTGATGGACTGGAAATCAATCTCATGCAGTTTAACAGTCCAAAATCAGAGCTACACAGGCTTCCCAAGGAGGCTAATGACACTGAAATTGCCACCCGCAAAAGGAGGAGGAGAAATCAGAGTTGGAAATCCTTTTCGCTTTTAAAAGCATTTCCAGCCAATTGATGGATTTCAGCAGGTATCAAGTGCCACTGAGGCCGTCGTCTGTAGAAACATTTACATTTATGTTGATTTATTTAGCAAACGCTTTTGTCCAAAATGGAACAGAAGCGAAGCAGATAATGTATCAGGCTGAGCTTCCAATGAGGAACAAATGGTTAGGAGTATCTGATCATGATGTTTTCATTATGGGACACCAGGACATATCTGCAGGATGCAAATTCATTATAGTCTCAGCACACTATTATATTACACATCATGCATGTAAAAAGTGTTAGATCTAGGAACTGAAATACAGCCATACAGTATCCTTAATAAATTTCCACTTCATGTATAATTTTTATAATTCTATTGTCCACACAAAGTTTGCTGCAGTCATATTTGAAAACACATAATACACAATGTGCAATTGCACAGTATTGGTCATGTGACATAATATTTGTTTGGCTTTTCTTGTGGTAAGATACACACTAAGCATCTGGGAGTGAAGGGACAAAGGAAAGTTCAAGGACAGCGATAAGTGGAGGAGGACTCACCAGTATGGACCCTACAACGTGGCTGGAGTTATCTGTAAGAAAAGCAAAAATGCACAGGATGGAGAGAAGGCGCTGAGAACACTCAGTACAGTTTGGTAAGAGCAGAGAGAATCATGGGAAAATTTCAGCAGAAAACCTGAATGTGCCTGACTGTCGCGGCTCAGCTTCCTGCTGGACCTGGTGTTGGCATCGACAGAGTCCCAGTTCCCTGTGCCCTGACACTCAAAGACGGACAGGCATCCGCCATGTTGTCTGACATCGCTGCTGGCTCTTGTCCAGTTGTGTCACTGCGCTGCTGGCTCTTGTCACTAAGCGGGTAATGTGTGGCTTTATTTGTTTTTGGCTTGGCACGTATTAGATGGCCAGCTTGTTGATCTTATACTTTGAGGTCGCATATCAGCACACAAGATGCCAATTAGCCCTGCCTCTGATAGACTGGGCTTTAGAGATAACCCTCGGGGGGGGGGAGGGCGGTGAGTCTGCTGTGTTTCTGCCTTTATTGGGACCACACAGGTATGTACTTATAGCCACCAGCCATCCCCCGAAGATGGCTCAGTGATTACATTGCTGTTTGAGAAGGGGGGACGATGGAAGAGGAAGGGCAGTAATGGGCAGGCAGGGGCCAGTGCAGATAGGCCTCCGGTAAAGATGTGTTTTGAGTCACCATGTTGCGTGTCTGAAGATGATTCCTCATTCCCGTCTATTCTGAGACCACTCGCAATGAGGACACTTACAATCAAAGGAGTTTCGGTAATCAAGTCCTTCCTGAGCGTTTCACTCTGCATCATGCTCTAGTTCTCGAGTCATGTGACGTGTAGCGGCGGGGATTGTATATCACAGGTTACCTTGACAACTCACACTTCCCCGCCTCTCTGCTGCCTCGAGTCGGCTGTGGTGGTGGTAACTTCGCTTTCCCAGCATGCTGAGCGGCCCGTGGTTGGGGAGGGAGGACAGCAGGCTCTTGGGGGGCTGGACCCGCAGGCCGTGGGTGCGGGGTGTGCGAGGAGCGTGGGGCGTGGGCCGAGATTCTGAAACGGCAGGACCTTGGTCAATGGAGGGCACTGGTATATGAGAGAGGTACAACTGGCTGGTCAATGGAGGGCACTGGTATATGAGAGAAGTACAACTGGCTCACTGCTTCAAGAGTGTATGTGGGAATTGGGGTTTATACGTATGCATCCCGGTTAATTAAATTCATATTTATTCAGCAAACTTACAAGCATGTGACTCAAAGACAAGTTTTCATCTCATTGCTCAATAAGGATGATGAAGCGACTTGTTCACGTACATGTATGTACAAATGTGTCTGGATCATGCATCTTGGTCGTAATTGTACATGTGCATGGATGACTGTTTGCCTTGTTCACTGTTCATTGTTGTGTTTCTGTGAATGTGTGTGATTGTAAGTGTGCCCACATGTGGCTCACCCAGGTACTGCAGGACACTGGAGAGGGTGCTTCTCTGGGATGCTCTGAGGCGGGCTGGCCTGCCCCCTCCCTCCGGACCTCTGCTCATGTCTGCAGAGAAAAAGAACAGCATGAGGTTCAGAACATAGCTTGCTATTTCAGACCTATAGTTATAGGTGACAGTGGCCTTTGACAGTGACAGCGGCCTGAGAGATGGGAGCCACAGAAGAATCAGGAGCACCAAGAATGTGGACAGAATTTTGACCAGAAAAAAACAGGTGACTCCTATCAACAGACGACCTCACGTGCAAACACGCCTTCTCCCTCTGAGGGGACAGCAGATGTCGGGCAGTGTCAGGCGCTGGGTGGTTTTGTGAAAATGTGAACTGAACCACGTAGGATGGGGGGGGGGTCATCCTATCAGGTTCACCCTGTGCTGAGTGCCAGCTCTTTTCCAGACTTATTTCCTCTGCAGAAAAAGCACTATGCACGTCTAATCCATCAAAATGATACATGTGCACCTTCCTCATGACATTACACCTGGAAAGGGGTCCTGGGGCAGTATCCCAAACAGGTCAGACAAGAAGACTGAGACTCCCGCTAATTCTGGGGGACACGCAGACAGTCCCACTCCAGCGGAGAGGGATAATGTGCCCCTCATCTACCTACTTGGACGACTTTGACCTGTGGCTCCCAAACCACTCCCCCGACACTATGCATCTACCTGTCTAAGTAATTCAGTCAACTAGTCTTTAAGTCCATAAGTCATTGAATTTGGTGTGAAGGTGAAACATAACTAACGTAAGTGGTGGTTGGTGTCTGAGACCACTTCTACTTCCCCTTGGGTACATGATGTTCAGTTGAGTACTCTGTGATTGTGATTATAACTCTTTATACTCAACTGTCATGGCTGCAGTTATGGCTAGGTTTGGTCTGGAGCAACTGGGGCAGCAATGTGGACAGGTGACAGAATAAATTAATAAGTATGTAAAGTGGGGGGGGGGGGGGGGGGGTTGGCAGATGGCTGTGTGTGACCAGTAGGAAGCTCTAATCTGGATGAACTTCTCAACCAAACACAAATGCTAAATGCTTGAGTTAAAAGAAAAGAAAAAAAAACGTTGAATAACGCATTTTAAAATAGGGCCATCAGCTTCATAAAAAAGAGAGCAGAGATCTCAGCACACCGAAATATAAAAGGCTTCGTAAGATCTGCCTTTTTTCAAAGAACTGATGGAAAATCACAGAAGTAAATCGCAGAGTCTGAGCTTCGATCCAGTGCTGAACTGAAATGGATGTTGTGAGAGCTGGTGAAAAACAAGCAGAGGTCAGGAGGCTGGGTAATGCCAGGCTAAGACCACCAACCGCTCACTAACCACCTCAGGGCGAGGCGAGCTCCGAGATTAAAAATCTGTCAGAATTTAAATATCAGAATAAAACCTCCAGCTGACATTGACAGGTTTTGAAATTATATTTGAAAATGAATAGGTTGTGGTTGCGGATCTCAGATGAAATGATGTTGATCAATATATTCTCCCTTGCACCATAATTGATGCCCCTGGCCCAGTTCAGCAGTCCCACAAATGATGGATTAATCATTTATTTTCAGCCGCCAGATTCACATATAGGGTGGAGAGATGCAGCATGGGAGGAGCTGATTGGCCATGTGCTAGCCAATCAGGACTCTCTCGCCGAGTGGACAGGGGCTGCAGCTGGCAACTATTTCATAAAATTACAAGAACTCCAAGGGTAATTTAAGCCATGGTTTTATTTATGTTTGTTCATTCATTCATTCATTCATTCATTAATCCATTTTCCCTTTTCTGTTTTTTGAGCAGATGGGGATTGGAAATAACAAGACACTCACAGACACACAGCAGAAGCACAGGAGCATGAAAGGTGATGCAAGAACAGCAGATGGTGGAGAGGGGAATATTCTAATAGAACAACGTCAGAACTTGCAAGTGGGTAATTCATAGTGCGCCAGCCGACAGCAAGCCAGGGTCAGGACAGAAAAACACTCAGCTGACATGTTAGTTTATTCACAAGAGAGGTACAGTTCCCCATAAAGACCAACCAGGCTGGGAAAGCAAACTTCAAAATCTCTAGCAGAGAATTTCCAAGTGCTTTTGGGGTTGCTGTTTGACTCGACCCAAAATGAAAACAGCACAAACAGAGAAACGAAAACTTGAAAGTTATATATATCTTCATCAGCAGTTCTGCTTTCACGTTTTCGTTTCACTGCTGGTGCAGAGGTAGCATATCTCTGCATCCCAAAGCCGCTCTGAAAAAAACAGCAGATCCACCTAGAGTTTGCTTTAAGCAGGACAGGCTCCAGGGGGACCTGAACTAAGGCTTTCAGATGGTTATCTGGCAAACATGTTTCTGCTGGGTCTGAAAGAGACACCCAGGTCTGGCTCTTTCTTGAGCCCTTGATGGCATCTTCTTCTTTAGCTCCACCTCCCACATCCCTCCCAAAAACACTTTAGGAAGTACTTGTCAGAACAAAGGGCTAGATCTTTCTTAAATAGCTTTTATTTAGCAGGACTCATCGACCACTATTACTGTTACAATATATTGTCCATGTTTTTGCATTTAACCTTTTAACATTTACAAAGCTTTCCCTATATATAGAGAAATATATGTGTATTAGAGTGAGTTGGACAGGCATTAATTGTACAAAAGAAACACTGTATTTCTTAATAGTACTTTCTCTCGACTGCAAATACAAGGCTTTTGATAAGGGAACAGCATCAAAGAAACAAGCCGTATAATGATGGAAGACCATCAGCACCTGGGTGACAATTATCTGCATGGTAGACAGTCAACTAGGTGTCCAGGTAGCTGATTATTGTGCAAGTTCAAAAGGTTTCTTTCATGTTTCAACGGCCACATTAATGAATCAGTCTTGCATGTGCATGTAATCAGATAGTCAGCTAGTATGCCAGGATTGCATTGTTCCTGTTGGATACTGTGACAATAATGGAGTCTATTCTCTTCTGTTCCATTTAGGGGTTTTATCACAAGGTGGCAGCAGTGTACACATTCAAGCACAGTTTAAATCATAGATACCATCATTAGTTACGTGTCATCTTCAGCTGTGCCAAGTCGTATTGCTTTGATAGTTTGGAAGCTTTCATGGGGCAGCATCCAGCATTCCAAGAAGAATATATCGACTGGCTGACCTGCCAGCTTCAGATACAGGGAAAAGGGGGTGGCGACAAGGAAAAAGTCTGAGCCAATCACTGACAACTATTCAGATCAGCTTTGAATCTATTCCCAGTCAATGCCCAGAATAAATCAGAATCTACCACATTGAAGAACTATATGCATGGACATTCAGACTCAACAGGAGGACTAGAATAAGACTGATTTTGCCAAGCCTTTTGATATTCAAGAGGCCTGAGAGGAACGGTAACCATGAAGGTATGATAGACAGTTAGGAGGATTCTAGTGTCAGCAACTTTTTCTATACTGACCTTTAAGCCACTCTGCTGATTGGAAAAAAAAACCTTAAGAAATAAGGTAATTAGATAAAATTCTGCTAGTTGTTTCTCCTCTCCTAGGAGCCCAGCGATACCTGTTAATGGTAGTCAACCAAGTTTACCCCACCAGGTCCTCACTGACAACCAACAGCAAGAACTGCATGTATTTTTTGTAATTAATTACATCTTATTTTACACATGCTGTTTATACAACCATTTCATGATGGATTTAAAAGAAAAAAATGCAAAACAATCATGAAAACTGATTAATGCAGAGGCAGCGTTGTGTGTGATGGGCTCAGGTGTGCTTCACGAATAGGACCTACTGGGAGAGACTGCCACTGTCAAGCAGACACCTCCACCACGAAGGCTGCAAAGTTCAGAATAGGCTCATGAATTAAATTCTGGCAAACATAACACACATACCGATGTGCTGGAAGACCGTTTTCGTCAAACCTTCAAGTGCATTAGCTTGCATAGTATCTATGAAGGGTCTCAGCAAATTACGTTTCGTCACGTTTTACTCTGCTTCATTCCGGGCTGGGTCCAGAACACAATACCTAAGGGTGCATCTCAAATGAGTGAGGGGGCACGATTCCCACCACCGTGTCACAGTCATGGACTGACTGACTACCACTTAAGGGAGGACATTATTAATCTGAGGGTGGTGTACACCCTTAGGCACCCTAGTTAACCAGAGTCTGGCTTTATTGGAAACAGGGTGAATCCTCTGTACCGCCACACTTCCGTTCTTTCTGACTGTCGTGAAAGTTTTTTTTTCTTCCTCTAACTTCATAAAAGAAAGTGCAAATCCCAGGGGTGACAAAGGCTATACAAAAAGTGTGACCCTTTGCAGAAATAACCAAAACACACTGAATAGTAAACCAGCAAATTTAATCAAACTCAATATAAGTACTGAAAATAAATTAGACAATAAAGCACCCTTTGTTTTAGCTTGCGACATTTTTCGGTGTGATTTTATGTGAAGTGTGTTATATCTTTAATGCAACAGTGTTCATCGGAGGTCTATTTAACATTAAAAATGATTAAATCATAAATCGAAGTTCGATATGGCGTTTAATGAAAACTTTTATTATTGTCTAATTTTTGATTAATATAGTTCATAGATATTCTATATGTTGGTTGTAATTCATGGGACAAAGTTATCACGCTACCTTGAATTAACAGGTGCGTAGAAACAGTAGAACCCCCACCACCACCCCCCACAATATTTCATTTGAATCGATTAAGCCCCCGAGTAAATAAGTCTTCGTATTTAAATATCAGACTCTCTACTACGCCGTTGACTCCATATCGCCTGCCCTCCTGAGGGATATTGGTCTCGTTGATGGGCATAAAGTTGACTGTGTAATTGATTTATCCTAGAAACTGTTTTACTACAGTTATTTAAAACAGAAGGCTATGGTCCGCTAGCACTGTTTCTTAGCACAAATAGTGTATCACTTTGCAGTATTTTCATCCATATTTTATCAGCAAAACAGCAGTTCCATCGTTCGCTTTTCCTAGCGTTTGGGCCCCTTTCCAGGGCGGCCCTGTCAGATAGCAGGTCACGTCATTTTCCCTACAATAATATAAACATTTAAATTAGCCGACTGAAAAATCGATATTAAACGTTAGAATCGAATCTCATAATGAAAACAAAGAGATCGAAAGAATCCATATTCCAGTGTCCATCTGTACAAATCCCTAGTACACACCAGAATGTACTATATACTTCCTGCAAGTATCAAAACTACGCCCTTATCCGTTATTTGACGACCACCATATATATATGGTGATCAAACCCAACAGATTATATACAAGGTAATAAAACTCTTACATACATGTAAATGCGTGTGCGTGTGCGTGCGGTTTTGTCTCGCATTGAAAATCTCACTCCAGTCCACAACCCTGATAAAGGCAAAACCACTAGAGCAACAAGCATATTTTTGCTACACAGGGAAACAAATTCATCGCAATCCTATGTCATACCTTCATCTCATCAGCCCTCCACCACAAAGCCCTCCATCGCATTTTAAAAATATAATTTTCGCATCCCAAAGACATATTCCGAAATATTACCGCACCTGGCTCAGATTAGCGTGACATCTGCAGACTTGTTCACGTGGGTCACGCGGCACTTGTGATATTACGCAAGTCTCGCCAATGACTAACAAAACCGAAGACGGGAGATCTTTTGCACTTGCTTGCGCGAATCAGCTTTTAAATACCTAATGTAGGACCCGGTATAGAACACGATCTGCATCTTGCTCAACTCATGCTTGACATATATAACAAGTTCGATCTGACATAATGTGCTTCCCTAAAGGTTATTCTGTGTTTCAGTGTATGTATTTACAGACAAATTAAGATTTATTTTCTCTGTGATGCTTTCTTTAAACTTTCCATTAATTAAGCTTTTCCTGCCGTAGGAGGGTTGTATATTTTTCCTGATTCAGCCTGTATGTTCTCATTTATCCGCAGCGGATACAAAGAGAACAAAATGTTCAAACAAGACAGCAAAGGAGACCATAAGACGGCAGCTACCTCCCATAACCTTAACTTCCCTGTACAGCAGGACATGTGCTAAAGTGTAATGCAGAAAAGCAAGCTTGTGGGAGGCAGCCTAGTGCTGTCATCCACCCACCGAGAAGCACAGAACATCTCCACAGCCAGGCGACACTCACACGACTGAATCAAGCCATCCTGTCCTCACTGGTTCTCTCTGGGACCCTCATTGTGTCACAAGTGCCTCCACCATGCGTGACAGACACCCCCCTCACTTCCTGTATTAGATCTAGCATCATTGTGTATCACTTACCTGACTGCCCCCCCTCCCCCCTCCCAGGGACAATCCATCAGATGGCCCCATCCACCACACATATCTGATCGCCGATTGGAGAATTACTAGCCAGCATGTGTAGGGGCAGGGTGGGCCCAGGTTCAGGCAGAAAGAATTAGTTACCCCATTACAGAGAGAGCGATGACAAGCACTTCCTATGTGATGCCCTCCTAATTGAGTAATGACCCATTGGTGGGGGGGTGGAGGTGGAGGGTGAGGACGAGACCGGCCGAGCGCAGATTTGATTTGCAGCTAGAATGCAAGCAGTGCGGCTTTCTGGCTCAGGGGAGTGTAACTACCGCTGTGAAAAGCAGGAGACAAAAGCCTACAAAGTAACGTGAAGTGCTACAGCGATCTGCCTTTAACCTACTGGGACCCAAAGCCCAGAGAACATACAGAGAACCATGCTTCAGAACACTGGACCTCCCTTTCCAAACTATGCCCATTAATGATGTGCCAGATCTGACATTATTCTGTTCTCCAGCTTTCGAGTCCCCCCCCCCCCCCCCCCCCACCAGGGTATTGGCGATCCTGTCATCACCTTCAGACACCCTGGTGTATGTATTTCAGCTTAATCAGACACCTGTCTGGCCTTAAACTTGCCTCCGTGACTCAGCAATTGCAGCAGAGAGATCAGAAAGAGCAGGGGTGTGACCCCTAAATGTCACCCAGACAGGGCTGGGGGGTAAAGGTGCGGCGGGAGGGGAGACTGCGAGGTACCTGCCGCACGAGTTCGCCTCACTGATCGGCTTTTACACAGCTGTGCAGGTGACACTTTTAAGATTCAGCACCGGCCACAAAGACCATCAGCATTAAATCTGAGGGTTTTAGCATAAACACAAAACAAAAATGGCATATTCCTTAATCTCTAACAACATGCTCACAGCAGGTAAAACATCGAGCCAGTGCCACATAAACAGGAATTACAGCACTATAGAGGAGAAAGTCACTTCAGTCAAGTCCTATATTCAAGAGACAGTCTCTGGTATATGTTGAAGCATCAGATAAACAAGCATATATCCCTGCAAAAATAAAGCTATAATTGCAGACAACATGGGGCAAAAACATCCCTTGGGAAGACAAAATATATTTATATACAACCTAGCCTTCAAAAGATAAACCTTAGTGCTAATTGCATCTTTCCATTCCAGCTGTTCTGGGCCAGCGCGTGGGCCACATGTGAAGAGGAAATATAGAAAAGTAAATAAAAACATCAAACTTAACATTAAACTCTCAACTTAAAGGGATGAAAATCTATAGGGAGAAAAGGAATAATGATTTTTAAAAATGATGAAACGGGAACGAATGGGGTGGGGGCAGGTACTCTTTATTGGAACCAAAAAAATACAAAATAAAATATAATAATAATAATATAATATTAATAATAAGGAGAAACAGGTAGATGGGGGAATGGCAGCGAGATGGAGGGTGACGGAAGTTAGGAATTTAAAGAGCTCTTACACTCCGCCTTTATAGCGCCACAGTTAATGGGCACAAAGGGGCGGCGGGCTGCCTGGCGCAGCCTGATGAGGTCACGGCACATGTGACGGGCCAACTTGGTGAGGCGTGTGGCCTGCAGCAGGAAGGCCTGCTTGGTCTTCATGGAGGACCTGGGGCTGCTGCTGTTTCGCATGGGGACCATGTGAGATGATTGCCGGGGACCGTGACTCCGTGGACGGGATTCCTGGGGGGCCCAGGGGTGGCAGAGGGGCGGGAAGAGAGAGAGAGAGGTAAAGAAGTGGAGGTATAAAAAAAAAAAATCCCCTATGCGCAGCGCTGTGGCCTTTGGGAGAACTGTAACCCTAATCACATTATGTAAGAGGTTCCTGTGTGCCCGTATTTCACTGATAACTGTTTTGCAAGCAGCGGTTGCCATGCCGATGCTCTAACATCAGTCAACCTTATCGAATGACATGAAAGCCACGGCACTTTTTCGGCAGTAATGATTTTTCCACCAGCACGGGAAGAAAGCCAGCAAGGCGACAAGGGGGTTTATCTGTGACCCTGCGGGACGCGGTGAGGATGGTGACTGGCAGATGGAGCGTGCAAGGCGTCGGGGGGGGGGGCTTACGGTGGCTGCAGGACTGGGGGGTGCCTTCTCCTCGCTTTCGCTTCGGCTGGGCATCTTCAGCCCCCCATACTTCTTCCAGTACGTCCAGCAGGACACACACAGGCGACACTGCATGTTGGGGGGGCCCCATGAGTACCACTGGGCAGACTGCATGGCTGGGGGGAGGGGGGGGGACACAGGTCAGCTGACACATAGGCACACCCACTGACAAACAACAGAGCTTCCCTGTGGTCCAGAAAAAAGTCAAACAATTGAATTAAAGTGCCCTTTTTATTTGCTCGTAACTGTGTTTTGCTGTTTGGAAACAGGAGGAATAATGTGATTCATCATCGACCCGATCAGTTGCAGGCCTGGTTAAGCCAGCAGGGCACTATTGATCAAGATCAGCAGAAATGAAAGAGCTGCCTGTAATGATGACAAAGGATAAGAGCTTTGGGAGGGCCAGCCGGCCACATGCCCTACCCCCCGATACTCACTGAAGCAGCTCTCGCAGGCTCGGCCCACACCTGCCGTCTGATATCCGCCTGGCCCCGCAGCACCGTTCACGGTGGCCATCTTGCCATTAGTGACGGAGATCTGGTTGGGGTTGGGCTTGTTACTACCGGTAACAGGAGAGAGAGAGAAAGGGCAGGAGGGAGACAAACCGAAATAAGGAGAGACTCGGAGGAAGGGGTGGGCCTTGGAGGGGCAAGCTGGAAGCAAGGGGGCATGCAGGAAGGGCGGGGGAGTTGGGAGGGGCCGGCGGCTTCCACAGTCAGAGCGGCGCACTCACTATGTTGGGATGTAAACTTGTTTCAGCTTGCTCTCCGCTTCTGCCGCCTTCAGCCGCTTCTGATTGTGGGAGGGGCAGAGCAGAAGTGTAAGAAGACTTCTCATTGGACGAAAAGTCAACTCATTCATCACACCAGTAAAACTCAGTGGCAGGTGGCCAAGCAGCTAAGGATGACTGTCTAGTAACTCAATGGTTACTCAGCTGGGCCTGGGAGGGGTCGTGCTGTTAAAACCTGAACTAGTTTAGTTTATAGTTAAGCTATAAACTCAAACGGCCTTAACAGGTCTATCATCTAAAGATCTAAAGCAACATCAGCGAACAGGTCAAAATTCAAAGCTTGATGATTACTGAATGTACATCGCTATCTCAACATCGTAAAGTCGAAATGTCGTAAGTCGAACCGCCGTAAAGCGAGGAGCATCTGTACGCGCAGACGATATGAACTCAAGTCACCTGCTGCACGTATCTGTCCGTGGTCTTCCACATGTAGTAGTACTCGATGATGCTGGTTAGCGACTTCCAGGGAAGCTGGGAAGCACAGGAGAATCAAGTCACTAGGGGGCGCTCAGTGTGACCTGCAAGGCTGCCGTAGAAGGAAACATGCAGGAGTATGTATGTGTGTGTGTGACCAAATGTTCCCCACAATGTAATAAAAACCTGTTTCTCTGATGTTGTGGGGACCATTTTTCAGGTCTGATCTGTGAATGCAATCAAAAAAGTAAAGATGTTTGGTTAGTTATGGTTACGGTTAGGGCTGGGTAGAGGTTAGGGTCGTCATGTTGGGATTGGAGATATCCCCATAGAAATGAATGGAGAGTCCCCACCAAGATCTAATTACAAACCACAAACCTGTGTGTGTGTGTGTGTGTGACAGGGATGGGAGCGCGGCCACTGTCGGCTCGCTATGGGCAGGTGGCCGGTTAGTGTAACAGCCCGTGGTAATTCCCACTGGGGGAGCTGAGAAATCCTAATGGTTTCTAACTGGCCGCTGTATGTGTGTTCACGCCTGAGTATTAATCAAACAGCTCAGCTCCGGTGCCCATGGCGGCCCTGGCAGACGGAGATGGATTTGGCCCAATATAGGGACTCAACAGGATCTGTTAATCTGGCTACACTACAGTCGCGGCCCCCCTGCACACAGACGCCCGGCGGGCGACAGGGAGGGCGTCCAAAGCTGAAGAACGGAGGTCGGCAGCCCGCCGAGTTAACGGGAGGATGAGGGTCATGACGCTCTCCAGCCGCCTGCATCCCATACAGACAGCAGGTGGGCGCGATGTCACAGCGCCCCCCAGAGATGAAAGAGGGACACCTGCTGGATCCGTTTGCTCTCTGGAGTCTCCCTTATCACTCTCTCAATGCTATTTCTGTTTCAGTATCCTCCTCCAGGCCTGGTCAAAATCACTCCATCTCTCCTTCCTCTCATTTCTCTCACCTCCTCGATCATTCACCTGTTTGTCTCCTCTTTCCTTCTCAATCTCTACATCCGCGTCTCCTCCAACCCCCCCCCCCCCCCGGTGATCCTTCAGTGGTGTCATCATTTCTACTCTCAATCTTCTTTTACAAAAGTCTCTCTCTTTCATTTGTCAAATCTACTGCCATCCTCCCTCTCACTGGCCCATGCTCTCCGCCATCCCCCCTCTCACTGGCCCATGCTCTCCACTATCCTCCCTCTCACTGGCCCATGCTCTCCGCCATCCCCCCTCTCACTGGCCCATGCTCTCCGCCGTCCTCCTTCTCATTGGCCCATGCTCTTCGCCATCCTCCCTCTCACTGGCCCATGCTCTCCGCCATCCTCCCTCTCATTGGCCCATGCTCTCCGCCATCCCCCCTCTCATTGGCCCATGCTCTCCGCCATCCTCCCTCTCACTGGCCCATGCTCTCCGCCTTCCTCCCTCTCACTGGCCCATGCTCTCCGCCTTCCTCCCTCTCACTGGCCCATGCTCTCCGCCATCCTCCCTCTCATTGGCCCATGCTCTCTGCCTTCCTCCCTCTCATTGGCCCACCCCTCCATGGGACTCACAAAGTCCTGCCGGATGTCGTTGAAGTCCTTGCCGTACTTCTCCAGTGCTTCTTCAAACAGGCTGGCCTCGGAGGCGCTCCATTCTTCCATCTCATCTCGACACAGCACCGGGCCGCCCTGGGGCACCAACACACTGATGGCACTGGCCAGGTTGTAGCCGTGCCGGTGTAGAGTATCCATGGCGTGAAACTGTTGAGTGGGGAGAGGGGGTGGTAGAAAGAGAACAGTCTTAAAACATACACAGACAGAAGCACAGAGGGTCCAGACGCATCTACTCCAATCGGAAGGCTGGAAATCACAGGTCTGCAGGGAATTTATATGCTCACATGCCACATCACTGGGTCACATGATTCTAAGCTGTAATGCTGACTGGGTGGATTTCGCGCCAACTCAGTGAAAATGAATAAGGACCCTCCCAAGGGCTCCGATACCCTAACCGAGGGCCCTAATTATTAAGGATGAGCAGTTTAGGGTGGCCGTGCCGACGTCAGCTCTGTGTCGATTTCTGCCAGAAGGAGCCATCGATCTTCTGACTGTCTGCGGGAGCGGCAGCAGGGTAGTCAGGCATGGAAGCAATACCAACAGCCACCCCTTCATCACGGCCTGCTCACATCCACATGGGGGGAATGGGGGTGCCGCTCTCCATCAAAGAAAGTCCTTATTTCTGACCGGCTATTAAAACCTGATGTCCCCTGAGGCTAAAGCCTTGAATGTGTTTTGCTCGTGAGCAGCAGGCAGACAGAGGCTGGGCCTTAGTGTGCCTCTGATCAGTATGGGCACAATGACACCTTGGACAAAATGGACGAAAAGCAGAAAAGTCAGTTTGCTCTGCCTTCTGATTAAAAAGAAGCTGTAAAAACGCACAGCACGACACCAGGGTTTCTCTGGAGTGTCAGGCTGGAGGGGGGAGGGGCGTGAGTGAAAAGAGAAAGGGGACACCTTCGACCGCTATGCCACAGCAAAGTGTGGGACACAAAACTGATTCCACTAACGCCGAGGTTTAATATGACCCTCAGATTAGATGCCGAGCTGCCTTTTGTTGTCTGAGAACTTCTACTGTGCAATGACCATAAAGCAGAATCTAAATCTGAAATCAAATCTGCTATGGAATCTGAAGGCCGTGTCCCTACAGCCTGGGACCTCTAGGGGGCACCGTGGAGCCAGCAGGGCGGGTCCTCTCACCAGTGTGATGTCACGGGAGGCAGCAGCGGCGCTCATGTGGAGACTGGGCTGCCGGACGGAGCTGCTGCAGTCCAGCGCGCGGGCGAACGTCCCCACCGCCCTGTGGGAGAGACGAGGAGGAGGGTGAGTTCCTTCATCATGCCCCCCCGTAACCATCTCCAATGGGCCCAGGCAGTTATGGGTTTGTGAGGGCAGGACACATTAGACAAAGCAGAGCAGCAATGGGCAACCGAATGCTCAGATGCAGCGCCGTGTTGTAGAGATGGGGTCTAAGGTCACCTGCCGCGGCAGGGGGGGGGGGGGGGGCGAAATCAGCTGATAAAAGAGAGCGACTGCAGCCCTCCGTGGAACATGGTCCTGAGTGACTTCCGGGGATTGGGGGGGGGGGCGCTGTGCTCTGACAGGAGCTGTAATTGGGTCACACAGCGGCTCGCTCATCAGCGGTCCGTTCACGGCGCCCGCCATCTCGCTGACACTCAGCGGCTGATTGGCAGATGGCCCCCTGGGGCGGAGCAGACCTCACGCCTCCCACTCAAAATCAGAGATGACGCGCTCGCAAGGAAAAGCCGAAACTGGAGTGCATGATAGGAGCAAGTTTCACACACGGGCTCCTGTTCCTGCCCAGCTGCTGCCTCTGATCAGGGATCAGTAAATCACAGTCGCCGGGATCAGCTTAAAATGTAACAGAACCCAAAACAGTCGATGAAGCGAGATCCCATTACTGCAGAAAAGCCTCCTCCATTAGCATGAAGTTACACAACAGCCATCATGGCCGCTCTATCGCCATATACGGGCACTCGCTTGTTTGAAAGGCTGTAAATATTGACAGCACTCATCAATACGGGCTGTCAATGTTAACGAAGCAAAAGCATCTGGTGCCATCAAAACTCATATTCCACCAGCACTGGGACTATTCAGGCTGCTGGTGAAAAATCTCCTGCCACATTTACAAAGTCTTGTTCTGTACCAATCAGATGTAATTTGACTTGATTTATGCAACCCACAATTCGTACAAGTTTGCTATATATCACAATTTTTAAGCACAGTTACACAAAGGTCCAGCAGAACATCCCCTCCTGGGAGCTAACCAGCCGACCCCCTGCTGTTCCGCCTGTGGCACCAGCAGTCCAGCAAACTGGTGCTGATTTACCACCTTGTTCTCTCCTGTATCTGACTGTTGTTCAGAGAAGCGCCTAATTTACCCCCTGGTCCAGACGAGTGCGGCAATCGGCCCCTTTTCCCTTCCCTTCACAGGACCCTGTTGTGAGTAATGGCCCCTCAAATGGCCCCACAATGGACCAGCTCCGCCATCTTTAGATCTTCAATGGGAGCCCTTCGAAACTCTGCAATTGCCTAAATCTAAAAGCCCTGATTGAGGACGAGGCCGTAATTGATTATTGACTGATCGTGGAGGGCATCTGTGAAAAGACATTCAAACCCCCAACCCTCCCACCCAGTATCGATCCACTGCGTGCTTAAAGCCCAGGGGCAGTGACACACATTTGAAGAGTGTAATCGCGCCATACACGCCCTAATGACGCCCTTTAAATACACACTGAAAAGAATCACTTCTGTGGGACTAAATGAGATGTCCTCAGGGAAGAAAAAAGATAAGACAGACTCTAAAATTCACCAAACACGCTGTCAGTCCCCTTTGTTTCCTCAGTTTACCGATTTCAGGTGAGTCGGTCAGCTACACACTTTGGGTCACTGAATGAGCCAGAGAAATAAATTAATCAGTAGAGACAGTGAGAACTACTTTTACAAAGAAAATACTTTGATGAGCTGCCGAATTGCAACATTAAACAGTCACCGACTGAGGGTGGGGCTTCGGCATATTTTGCTGATTGCGATCGACCAGTTAGCCACCGATGAAATAAAGCATCACCCATTAATCATCTAGCCATCGACCTGGGCAGTCCTGTTTTATTGTAACTGGTCTCAGCAATCCTCTGTCCCCTGTCAATCCCACTTTATTTCAAATTTGACAACGTCACCCAAAGTACCGCAGCGTGTCATTCACTACAGTTCGCTGCTGGTAGCCATGGCGATATCGAAGCCGAGTACAAGGACAGTTTTCCGAGTCGCTATTTCAGCCTTTGATCACTCCTTTACTTACATTAACATTTTATTAATATATTGGGCACTTTTGCCTAAGCGACTTACAGTAGAAGAGAGGGTTACAATCTGTGCGTGCTCCCTGGGATTTGAACCCATGACCTTTGTGTTGCTGGTGCAGTGCTCTACTTGTTCAAGTACAAAATGTCTCAAAACTCCAAACTCAGTGTAAGTACAGGCATCTCACGCAGAGGAGGGTGCAAAGCCTCTGGAGGTGAAAGGTCAAAGGTCAAGAGGGACTCAGGCACCTACCTGGCCACCACGAGGAACTGGTCGATCTGCTTGCTGGTCAGGGGACACTGGGGATCCCACATCTTCTCCTCCAGCTTGGACTGATCTCTATTGTCAGGCTCTCCTGGTGAAACAAGGTGGTGTGGGGGGGCTGGCTGAGCTGTATTTCATTCACACTTTATTTACTTAATGTTTGTGCTGCTCAGCTGACATCAGCAGAACGACGGGGATGGTTCTCACAGCATGATGTATTATTGCAGCGATTGGGGAAAAAAAAGCCCATAATGAAAGAACTCGTCACCCAGATAAAAACACATAAAAAGAAAATTACTATTCTGTTGATTAGTCAATGCTTTTTCCAGTCACAGCTGGATATTTCACTCTGGGGATTAACAGTAAGGTCACCAACTGGCTATGAGGCCATGTCTTTAACCACTGCGCCACCTGCTGCCCAGGGGCCAATTTAATGGTGCATACGGAACAGAGGCAATATGTGTCTCAGAAAGGCAAGAAAGGGAGCATAACCCACCCACCTACCCCCTGGAAACTGGGGGAAACCACCCTTTCTTTACGGTTTCGTTGAAGCACTGTTGGGAAAGTCTGGGAACGTCTGTAGCAGAGTGGCCTGACAGGCGCAGAATAAAACTAATGGCTGTAAAGAGAGAGAAACAGCGAGCAGGACTACGGCGAAGCAGCGGCGGGAATTAGCAAATAAATCACAGCGGGTAAACAGGTCCGGGGGCGTCAATCAGCCCCCTGCATCCATGGGGACACAACTACTCAAGATGGGGGGTGCAGACACAAATGCCTAACTGGCCATCCGAACAGCTAGGAATTAGTGCACATTGGGGGGGCTTTAAAAAGAGTAATTGCTAATTAAGTGCAAACGTACTTTCTTCAGATGTAAAAGCAAGCTGCTGTACTGTGTCTGGATGCACATAGGTCACTCTCCCCGCTTTAAGGTGCATTTCAGTTCCTGTAGCTGGCGTGCAACACTCAGACCCACATCTTGTAATCCCCTGCAACACTCAAGGGCGCTTTGATCGCCCCCGGCCCTCGCCCCCGGCCCCCGCCCCCGCCGCTGCCTCATTCAGCCTGTCTTTCCTAATTACATGTGCTTATCCCTGCCTCACTTCTGAAATCAGCCGACGGCCAGGCGAGACAGTGAGGAGAGATGAGAGTGGGTTACACGAAAACCAGCTCTAGGTCGCTCAAAACCACCCCCCCCCCCCAAGCCACCTCCATCCTTCACCAGCAGGTGGGTGTTCATTAAAAAAAAATAATAACACTACTGTCTCCCTGGTGCCAGACAGATATTTTAACAGAAACGACAAGATGGAAGCTGAACCCTTCAAGAAACTTCAGCTGTAAAAAGTGGTCCGCAAACAGTAACAGCAATCATAACAGCTCTTCAAAGTGGGGGTGGCAGGCATGTCAGTCAGTGGGATTGTGGGTATTTTGGACGGCAACTTCACAGAAGGGGCCATGCTATTTGCAGTATCAAATCTAGAGCATATCTTTCAGTGGTTTGGGTCAGACTATGCCAGGCAGTGTCAACGGAAAGTGGGTGAGATACGATCCCAATCAGTGCTCCACTGGTGCTCTGGTGTTGTTCCACTGAATACAATAGATGAACAGTATGTCTATAACCACAGGCACTGCATCCTGTTATCAGCACATTAATGACCAAACTCCAGCTTGGAAGTGAGCCAGCTTAGCTTTCCCTGCCCCCCCCAAATCCCCAGACGGCACTAGAGGGACCTCCCCCCCCCCACCTCCGACCCCCTCCTCACATGAGTAAGGTGCTCTAATGGGCTGAGCTCGCAGCCCAACCCACAGCAGTATGTCATAGCCGTGGTTGCAAGTCACTTTTGCCCGAATGGGGCACCCACAGGGGGAGAGGGCAGATGTGGAAGGTGGTCATGCCGGTCAGAACCTGGATGGCAAAACTGACGCGTGACCGAAGAAGAAAGCCAGGCAAAAGCAGAGCCAAGCAGAGCGTCTGTGAGGAGCGTCTGCGAGAGGCGTCTGTGAGGGGCGTCTGTGAGGGGCGTCTGCGAGAGGCGTCTGTGAGGAGCGTCTGCGAGAGGCGTCTGNGCGTCTGCGAGAGGCGTCTGTGAGGGGCGTCTGTGAGGGGCGTCTGCGAGGGGCGTCTGCGAGAGGCGTCTGTGAGGGGCGTCTGTGAGGGGCGTCTGTGAGGGGCGTCTGTGAGGGTGCCCGTCACAAGCTGAAACGTGTCTCTGTTTTTTTTTTTTTTTGCACCCGTCTTAACGAGAACGCACTTGACACCGCCAATCTGCTGCATTATTCAGGGGATTTGTGAATTGCGACTAATTACAGCCAAACGGTATTCTGGGAACAAGCCTCTGCTTTAGGAAGAGGAACATTCCGGCATTAGCTACATGGCTGGGAAGGGGGAGTCTACCGTCAGTGCAACCTGTTATGGTGCCATTAGGGACGGACTCTACTGACCAGAGGGCCGCCCCCCAAACGACACCCCCGCCAATCCTCTGGTGTGTCAGAATCAATCGGACCACAGTGTTCAAACTGCACCTTGATCAACGAACCAGATCTGTGACAAAGAGCGGTTACAGCCCTTATGATGTAATCTAAACCGCCAGCATTTGCACAGTCCCTCACTCAAGAGTACAACACCAGAAGAGCACGCTTAACAGTTACGGCCCAATTGGGTCGACCAGAAAAAAATCATAGCTCTCCCCTTCAGGAAAACACGACACAGAGGACAGACAACAAACCAGCTTAATGAAGGACGTACTTCATGTACCTATCAGGTATCTGGTTTGCAGGAAAAATAATTGGATATAAAACTGAAATGAGTTAACAGAACTACATTCAATGTAATTACTAATCTAGCTAAGATCCCGCACTCAGTGATGTTTTATTTTAGCTTTACTGCCTGGATTTTCCCTAGTTCCAGTCTTTGCTTCATATAAGAAGAACAACTCTAAAGGTCAAAGGTTGGTACTACACACGCAAGATAATTTCAGCCCCAACTGCCTTAATTTGGCTTGTCCTGAGGACGGAAAGTTCCACTGTGGGGGGGTCGGCCTCGGTGGTGTTGCCACCAACGCCCCAACGTCGTTGAAATGAAATGCCTGCGGTGAGAATTAAGCATCCACAGTGAGGCTAAAGCCCCCCCGATCAGCATGGGGGGGGGGGGACGGCGTGTCACACAGTAACGCAGCATAGCACCCCTTAAGGAGGAGAGCCGGAGAGAGAGAGAGAGAATCGGAGCTGAGAGAGAAAAGAAGAAAATAACTCAACATGCACACAGAACTGACAAAATGTTCCTATTTGCAGAAGGAGCCAGCAGGAGGCCTACTGGGGGGGTGGGATAAGGGGGGGGTTATAAGTGTTCTTCCCTACAGTGCAGCCACCTGCAGGGGGAGGGGGTTCATTATGAGCTCTCATTCATATTACTGTGAGGATGATGAAAGTGGCAGGACTCTGACACCATGTATTACATAGGAAAATAACGACCAGCACTGCAGGCAGGGGGTGGGCCCACTACGCAGAGCACTGGGTGCCCGACCCCCGCCCCCCGCCACCCCCCAGCTGAATACCAGTGCCGGCGAAACCCTCTGAGGCCTGGAAAATCACTCTGTGCAATGTGCTCTGAATTATTCAGGATCAGAGATGGGGGAGGTGGGGGGGGGAGTAGCTGGAACATGAAAATTTAAATATTGCCTATTTAAGGGGAAGAGTGGTGTTTTTCCAAGGTGGCCAAAGCTTTTTATAAAGAGACTGAGACATGAGGGGAATTTTGGGCAAATGATCATTTCCTGACCTTAAATACATGCCCAGGTAACGACGCTGGAGGGGGGGGGGGGGGGGGGGGGGGGGGGGGGGGAGTAGCTGGAACATGAAAATTTAAATATTGCCTATTTAAGGGGAAGAGTGGT